TTCTTGCCCCAAGCGCTCATGGAGTCCTCAGGTGTAGTGTGGTGGAAGGCCTAACAGTTCTGCATACCTTGACATCTGGGAGAAACTGGGAGAGCCTCTAATGGCTTAATTCCAAATCCCCTTCCTGAAGTGCTCTTACGGACAGGGTCCCCTTGCCATATAACCTCCCAGGACCCCAGCTCGATTTTGGTCTTGTTTTGAAAGAAACCACCTAATCTCAATTTGGAGATCTTAAGTGGGTACTGTTACAAGCCTCTGAGTTTGTGATACTTTGCTACGGCAGCAATAGAAATCTAATGCAAGTGTTTATTTTATTCTTCAACAACAGAAATTTATTCCTCACAGTTCTGAAGGCAAGTGTTTAAAAATGGTTAGCCGTGTGTGTTTTCCTTGGTTTCATCCTCTTAGAAAAATCCAGGGATAGTCAAACCTTTAACATCAATGGCAAGAAACAGTCCGTCCCCCTAGTGTTTCCATTTATGAGAAGCACCCATAGCTTTATGTACCTAGAGGATTGGGTCTGTTCTGTGCCCAGCACATATCTTAACATTCTGGTTGATTTTTCTCTACTTATATGAATCACGGTTCCCATGTGAACGATTATTTTAACACTAGAGCTACATCTTCAGTCACCATGGGCTCCAAAAGCAGTTCATTGATTATAGCCTCTGCTTCAAAGATCTTATTTTATTTTTATTTTAAAAGTGAGCAATTCCCAACCTTCAACAATTGAGAAATGATAAGGAGCAGAATAATAAACATTGTGTTATAAAATGCCACATGTATATGTTACCTTTTTAAAAGTTGAAAAACTATAACTGCTCTATGAGTGGGAAATAGTGAAGATTATATATGTATGAATAGAGTTTAGTCCTGTAATGAAATCTTATAGTAAAATGATTATGACACATATTTAGTATGACTAGTTGTTACTATATTAAATATAATTAGTAAGAAAGGTAAGGGTATCGCAAAAAAAATTATAATTTGTGTTTATAATTATTGCTACTATTATATAGCAGAATGAACATTTCTGCCCCCAGCAGAGGGGCAGGGTAGGGGAGCTGGGCAGGGAGGTCCCTTGGACTCGTCTTTCCATCCGTGATTCCTGACCCAGGAGTGTCAGGGGAATGGGAATGTTTTCACTGGCTGAACACAAGGAGGCTGCGAATGAAGGGGTTCAGGGTGGGCCGCTCCTTCCTCCCTGCCGAGGATTGCCCCTTGTTCACTCGGGAACATAGGAAAATGGGAACTGGTTAGCTAGGCCCTTGGGATCTCCAATATTTGGCAGGGACAGCGAGGAGAGGTTTCGCTCTGCCCTTCCCTGCCCTCCAGGGCTCTGGAGTCCCAGCGTGTGCGTCTAGGGGACCCAGGTGCCACCGCTGTGCTCCTGCCTTTTCTTCCTGCAGGTGGAGAGACGGGGCTGAGGGCTTGTTCCATTTCCTTCCAGTGATTTTATTTCACAAGGCTGAGATTTAAAGGAAGGTCTCTGCCCAGGGCCCCAAATTCTCCCATCACTGTCTAAGATTCTGTTCATTAAAGATGAATTTGAATGAATAAGCAAGTACCATAGGCTGATTAGAGGCACATGTTAAGAAGGACCCTCACACCTTGATGATAATCATCACTAGCATGTGTTGCGCACTTAGTATGAACCAGGGCCATTCTGAGGACTTCACATGGATTAACTTATTTAATCCTCACAGCAGCCAGGGAGGGAGGGACCTTGTCGTGAGTCCCATGGTGACGACGCGGAGAGAGCCAGGACAGAATCCAGCTAGGTGGGCTCTGGGACTCGGACCCTCAGCCCCTGTGCTGAGCCACCCCTCCCGGACACTTAGGCAGGATTTGATTTTATTTGATTGCTTTCTTTCTTCCTTCCAGCAGCAACACCTGTAAGAGGTGGGTCTGGAAGTGAAGAGGGAGAGGGCGTTTTAGGGGGAGGTGTACCTAGCTGTCGGGGGCTCTGATGGGGACTTTGGAAAGAGACTTGGGAGGCCCTCTCTCTCTGACCATTGTTTTGCCACCAAAGCAGTAAGACCCATTCACTAGCCTCTTGATGTTACGGATCTTGCAGTCAGTGTGAGAATTGAACTAAGACCCCAGCAAGTATCGTTTCTCTTCTTTGATGCTCTCTGGACATTGACCTCGCTTTTTTTTTTCTTCTTTTTCTTTTATTTTATTTTAATGTTCTAGCTGGAGAAAGCTCTTATGTATGTTTCTGTGTGTATATGATAAATTAAATGCTTTATTTATTATTCAAATGCCATTTAAAATAACACTTTTCAAATGTTCTTGAAGTAAAGGCCAATGAAAAGCAACTAATTCTTATAATTGCCATTTTATTCCTCACACAGTATTGGCTGGATCCTGCAAAAACCCTTGCTGAACACAAGGAACTGATCAACAGTAGGTATTTAATTTTAACTTTGTTAAGGGATGCCTCGAGAATGACATAGCGTCCATGCTTAGTTGAGTACAGAATTAGGCTCCAGTACTACAGGGGTGAGTACTAGCTCTCAGGTGCCAGATTATGGAAGTGGGTGTGTGTATATTGCCAGGTCTCGGCAAACTCTGATTCAACTTGATAAAGACTGAGTGCATGTTAGTGTTGAATTTCGCTTGGTGTATCCCTGCTCTTGACTTTAGTTAGTTTTCTAGTTGCTCATCTTTGTCTTTAAATTTTCACCTTAAAACAGAAAAGGCAGAGAGGCACTGAATTGGAAAAAGGTGGATATCCAACTTTTTAAAGCCCTTGAGTTTCTTAGGTTAAAGAGTAGTTTTGTCACACTGTTCACTTTGTTGAATCAGTAGTTAAGAAGTGCCCTTGTGACCTGAAAGATTTCTATGACTTCAGAAAGGACCCATCTATTTTGCTTCTGGTTTTATAAATACAAATTTTACTGTGTGACTCAGTGTAATTAAGGTTATATGTATTAACCTTAATTTCCATGACCCACATTTTTATTTATAAATGCTTGTGTGTACGCACAGACACACACCCATTCACTGTCCTTAAGCATGCAAAAGAGTAGTTATTTTAAAAAGACTATCTTTTTAAAATTATGGTAAAACACATAAAATATACTATTTTAACCATCTTTGAGTATACAATTCATTGGCATTAAGTACATTCAAATTGTTGTGCAACTACCACTATCCATTTCCAAAACCTTTTCATCATTCCTGACTGAAACTCTATACTCATTAAACCGTTTTGCTTTAACGTGCAAATTATTGCTAATAAGACCTAGTGGATTCCTCTGGTCCTTATTATCCCATTTCTTAGTCTGTACTTTTCACATGTATTGGCTCGTTCCCTGTAGAAAAATTGGTTGCATGGTGCTTCACGATCCCTAAGGGCAGGAGTGTGCACTAAGAATAAAACATTGTTATCACTATTGAAGAAAGATTATTTAACTGGAACATACATAATCTTTATATTCTATCTCATGAGATAGTTTGAATAATTAATGAAGGAGACAGTAGCTCTCACATCTTCAGTAGATGTGATATCTATCAGTCAAATGGAATAGCTATAAAAATGACAGAATACTTACTAGTCACCAGGATTCTCATGGATAAGTCTTGATTTATTAATCTCTGTGCTAATGGGAAACTTTTTATTATCATTAAAGGTCTTGAAATTAATCTTCAAAAGGTAGATTAGAGGATCCCCAGTTTCTGGCTTCTGTATTTTTTGCTAAAGTGAAACAATATTAACTGACTTTACATAAGAATTTCTTAAAGGTAGTCTGTGGAAAGACATGGATTCAAGGTCATAAAAACTTGGGAGTTTGCTTCATCAGCACCTGATTTTTATAGTCAGTCTTAGACATATCCTTGCTTCAAAAATGTCCATTCCCACAGCCTTTGATTGATCTACAGAGTGATGTTTATGAAAGACTTTGCTTACTCTATAGTTATATTTTTTCCCCCTGAGAGGCTGTATGGAATAGTGGCCAGAAAGCACTGAACTCTAGTAGCAAACTTGGTTCTTAGTTTGTGATCCCTGTGATCTTAGGCAAGTTGCTCACCTCCTTGGAGCTTCACCTGCCTTGCGTACGTTACCAGGTGGTTGTTGAGAATCAAATGTTTAGGAAGCATTTTTGTACTTTATCAAATGCAATCAAATGGTAATGATGCCTTATATTTAGAGCACAAGCCGTTTTATGTGTAAGTGGGAAATGGAGGGCTCATTTGGGCTACAAGTCCTTTAAGAAAATTAGCCCAAACCAAATATTTTCAGTTGTGTATTTTTCAAACTTCTGCATAACTGCTCATCATCAAACACATTTGAAGTGGCTGGGCTTGGTCAAGGGTGTAATCCGTCATGTTCCAGAGGATAAAAGCAGCTCTGGACTCGGGACGAGGCCCTCTTCCTTTGTGCACTGTCTCAGCAGCATCTGTGCTTTTCCTGGCCCCGATGCCAACCCCAGTGGCCTGCGGGCACAGGCCAGCCCATCTGCTCAGTAACACAGGGCTTGATTGACAAAGACTGATCAGCAGAGGGTGGACTTCCTGGCTCTTCTAAATATTTAATAGTCTCTGCCTCCCTTACATCCATATTCAGGGAGAGGGGTGTGTTTGTCAGAGCACAGTGATTAACTAAACATAGAAATTGAACATAAGGATCAACTCTAATGGTAAAAAGTTACAAAAAGTTTCTTTTAAAATTTCATTTTTAAAGAAGCTCTAGCATAAGTAGTGCCTGCCCAGGAAGGCACAGCTGAGGGGAAAGGAGCGGGGCTGGAGTCTTGGTTGTCTTCTGCATACCAGGAACAGGGCTTTGGGGTTCACAAGCATAGCATGTGTGGGTCATAATAATGATAAATAATGACATAGGTTGTATATTATAAATGCATTATGGGTTTATTACCTTTTGTTCCATTTAATTTCCTTTCCCCAACTTCTAAATTTTTTGACTTCAAGTTAACAATGAAAATAGAAAGAGTAGGATGACTTTATGTCAATTACACAGTATCAGAGACTGGGGATCCCATGTGTAGGTGGAAGTATTTTTACTGAAGTGCATACTTTATATCTTTTTTTATTTGTGTGGGAGAGCTTTTGTTGAAGAAAAAATTAGAAACTGTGATCACCAATTGATGCACCAGGTAACAAATTTGTTTTAAAACAGTTTTAATATAAGGTCTAGTTAAATACACTGCTTAGAAGTATGCAGGTTGCAGACAGTGCAGGTTAGATTCACACTCTCTGAAACAGAAATATTTCTAGTAAAAGCATATTATGATGTGGTTGGCACCCAAGGGGCTTGTGTTCTCCTTCACAATATGAGTATTTAATTATTTTCTATTTCCCCATGTAGGTGCATTTCCAGACTTTGTTTCATATGTATTTAGTATTTGTGCACGTAGTTCTTGTGTGTGTGGTAAATGATTGAGATGAAGAATATCTTTTTAAACATGTATGAGCACATTCTTAGATTCAGAAAAGCTTAAGAATGAGACATATATTGACCCTAATCCACATAGCTTCACTGATAATTGTTTTTTTTTTTCTGAAAAGGTAAAAGATAGATACATGGTAAGATATTTCTAACATACCAGTTTTGCTGAGAGTAGAATAAATGTTCTCACTGGGGGAAAAAGGGTAAATGTGTGAGGAGATGGATGTGTTAGTTCACTTGAGGGGAGGGGAGGGCAGGGTCTGGGTGGAGGTGGGCGAAGGGGGGCAGGAAACGGAGGATAGCTGTAATAATGTCAACAGTAAAAATAAAATAAAAAACCCACAATGTATAGGTATATGAAATCATCATCTTGCACTCTTTAACGGTATTTCAGTTTAATTTGTCACTTCTACCTCAGTAAAGCTGCGAAAAGCATTTACAGTCCCTCTTCCCGAAGTTTGTCACTGTTAGTAACTTCTTATGTATTTTAGGGGAAAATATTTTATTAGATAACTCTCTTTCTCACAAAAGGGATTATATTTCTGTAGTCAGAATATAAATTGGTGACCTTTCCCCTTTCTTCCTCTGCCCATGGTAATATGTGTGTGTGTGTGTACATATATATGTATGTATGTATCTCCTTTGGTTGACTTAAATGGTCCACCTGCTGCTGAGCATGTAAGTTGTTTCCAGCTTTTGTAGATTTTTTGGGGGCTATTTTTTGCAATAGTGATGGGTGGATGGTTTTTAAAACTATTAATTTTTATAAATTCTTCATTATGAAGAAAATACATGTATGTTGTAGAAAATGTGGGAAATTATAAATTAATAAAAATTGTGCATAAGCTCACTAACCAGAGATAAGAACTGGCGACGTTCTGATGTATTTGGCCCTGCCCTCTCCTCCTGTGTTTATGAACACATAGACCGTGCATACATAGATACCTGCATAGTTGAAGTCCTACTCTACAGAATTGTGGTGACCATTTGTGTCATTTTATATTTTCTTGTGTCTTTAGAAATTCTTGGTGAGTATAATTTTAAACAACTTTATTGAGATAGCTGTGACATGTAAAAATTGTATATATTTAAGGTGTGCAACTTGATGTTTTGATATATGTATACATTGTGAAAAGATCAGCATAATAAAGCTAAATAGCTTATCTATCATCTCTACATAGTTATCAGTGTGTGTGGAGGTGTGTGTGTGAGAAAATTTAAGTCTTGTCCTCTTAGCATATTTCTCAGATACAATATACTATCATTAACTATCATCACCATGTTGTACATTAGATTCCCCGAACTCATTCATCTGGCTAACTGAAACTGTACCCTGAGAGAGAAACATCGATGGTGACCAGGGCTTAACACTTGTCCTTTTGATAATAGCTATTCTTATAAGTGTGAAGTGTATCTCACTGTGGTTTTGATTTGCGTTTCCCTGGTGATTAGTGATGCTGAGCACCTTGTCATGTATGTGCTGGCCATTTGTATGTCTTCTTTAGAAAATGCCTATTTAGATGCTTTGCCCATTTTTTAATTGAGTTATTTGTTTTTCTGCTATTGAGTTGTATGACTTCCTCATATATTTTGGACATTAACCCCTTATTTAGTAAATGGTTTGCAAATATTTTTGGTGAGTATAGTTTTTTAATAGTTTTATAATTTTACACTACTATTTTGCCTAATTTATAATGTAAAATTTAATTAATTTCTATTTCTTATTTTAGCTGGACCTCCATATACTTTGTATTTTGGTATTAAATTCTATGCTGAAGATCCATGTAAGCTTAAAGAAGAAATCACCAGGTACAGTAATGACTTTGCTTTTGAACAGCACATGTATGGCATATACAAAAGGCTTTATTTAAAGCAAATGGGGTCAACCATTTGGATACATGTCTACCTGCATTTTGTATGCATCTCCTGCGAGAGTTAAATTTAAACCAGCACTACAAGAGGCAGATCAATGTCTGATGATAGATGTGTTTGAACAATGGCATGAGCCTGGGTGACACAATGATAGATTTTGCATCTGCTGCGATGGGATATTTCCATATCATTCTGGTGAAGGACGCATTCAGCCTTTGTCATCATATGAAAGTAGCCGTTTGAACTGCGTAAAGGAAGATATTTGATGCTCAGTTTGTATATGTGAATATAAATTTGAAGAGCCAGTTATTTCTCTTTAATTGGTTGTAACTTAAATGTCAGCTGTCTAGGGGGTTTCATATATCTCTGTAGGAAATGAAAAATTGTTTTTAGTGTTTTGTGATGTGTTACTTCACTTTTGTCATCAAATGTTTAATTTCAGTTAAGGCAGAATTTTCCATTGGTATTGATTCTATTAAAATAGTTCATGGCAACATTTGAAAGTGCCTTATAAAGAGCAGACAGTAGTGTGATATTTTCACTATTCCACCTGTGACCTGACGGCACTGTCAGCAAAACAAAAGCATTTTTCCTAACTGCTCTACGTGGTCAGCTTTCCTCGTAGACCCTCAACATTGGCTCAAGCAGAGCCTGCTTCATTATTCAAAAACTTTGAAATTATATCTTTGATATCTAAGGCAATCTGTGATTTTTTTCCTATCCCATTTTTTCATCTTTTCCCTTAGACTTTGTTTGTCTTGATCCTGGACAGCACACAGAAGAGAGAAGAGGGAAGGCTAATGGGATGTTTTCTATGACACTCTTTCGTGCTGTGCTGATGCCTGCGTTTATGTTTTCTATCCCCACGTTGTCAGTTAGCACTTGAAAAGCGGGGCTGTCCATTCAGGTTTCTGTGAGCACACTTCTGTGGGGGAAGGGCCGTTGTGTTGGGGAGATGCTGAAGAGTGGGGTTGTGTTTACATTAGAGTTTCATGAATTGTCTTTGCGGTCAAAAAGGATTTCTGAGTCATGGGCTCATGGGGAACCTGAGTCCAAGTGGTATATAACTCATTAGGGAATTGTAAGGGAACATTTTATGAAAATAAAAGTCCTTCATTTCGAGGTTGTCAGTAACCTCTCTGTGCCTCAGTTTCTTCAGCTGTAAAATTGTAGATGTACCTGTCTTCTAGGTTTTTGTAAGCATTTAATAGAATAACAGATGTGAAGCTCTTATGCAGTTGACCCTTGAACAACACCAGTTTCAACCGAATGGGTCCACTTGTACGTGGATTTTTTTCAATAAATACTGTAAATGTACCTTTTCTTTCTTATGATTTTCTTAATGATATTTTGTTTTCTCTAGCTTACTCTATTATAAGAATACAGTATTATACATATAACATACAAAATATGTGTTACTTGACTATTTAAGTTATTGGTAAGGCTTCCAGTCAACAGTAGGCTGTTAATAGTTAAGCTTTGAGGGAATCAGAAGTTATATATGGATTTTCAGCTGTGCGGGGCCTTGGTGCCACGAATCCCTCCGTTGCTCAACAGTCAACTGTAGTTGGTTATATTTGCCTCATAGTAAGTGCCTGATAAATGTTAGCACTTATTTCATTTTCTCATTGCTCTGGCAGTTCATTGAGGGTTAGGTTCCAAAAGATAAGTGATTTAATGTTAAGAAGGGGGTAAAAAGAGCAGTGTTTTATAATATTTACTTCACATCTGTTCACCAAATATCATTGATGACCAGAAATTTCCTAATAGCTCATTAGCAGAATATGTGGATTTGTGTTATGTACAACCTCACAAATAATTTAGTGCCACCTGTTTTTCCTCAAGTATTAGACCAGATCATATAGTTAAGGACTGGACGACATAATTGGCTTACAGGGAATGACCTTGATCTATAGCAATTTATTTTTATTGCCAAAAACATATAGTTGAATTTAGATAAATTAAGTGTGTATTTAATGTAATATCACTGGGCAAAAACTGCAGCCAAAAAAAAAAAATCTTGCCCTAGCCAGATTTGCTCAGTGGTTAGATGTCAGCCCACAGACTAAAGGGTACCGGGTTCGATTCTGGCCAAGGGCACGTACCTCAGTTGCAGGCTCGATCCCACTGGTCAGGGGCGTGCAGGAGGCCACCAATCGATGTTTCCCTCTCACATCGATGTTTCTCTCTCTCTCTCTTTCTCTTTCTCCCTTCCACTGTCTCTGAAAAGCAATGGGGGAAAAAAAAAATCTTCCAATATATGGTATTGAAGGAAGAGTCTACTTAGACCAGCCTTTTCAACTTTTTTTTGAAAAATTTTCTGGCCTTCTCTGAATTGGTTCTTAGGTTGTTTATAATTTTTTGATATGAAAAATAATACTGTGGTGAACGTGCTTGTACCCTATTATTCCATGTTTTTTCGGTAATCATTGTTTCCCTACATATTGTACAGACATCTTTCACTATTGAGCCCATTTGTTTTACTCCTGCATAGTATTCCACAATTTATTTAGCCATGCCCTGTGGTGGGCTTGCCAGCTTGTTTCCTTTTTAAAAGTTACAGATAATGCTGCATTAATCTCATGTACATATATGACTATTCTAGATATAGTATTCCAGAAGGATGTTGTATTTAGGGAAAAAAACCCACACAACTAAAGGAGAATGGGACATGCAGGAAAATAAGGCTCCAGACCATGAGAAATATAAGTGAAAGAATCGTATCAACTTGGAGTACCTGTTAGGGACTCTAAAGTGTGTTCTGATATAAACACAGTTGGGGGACTCCAAGGTCATATATCCTAACCTCCACCTTTATAGAGCATTCCTGACATGTCAGCCAGCTTCTTTGTAAACATTTTAAAGGTAGGAGACCTTACTGCCTTGCAAAGCAATGGGAAATTCAGTAAGAAATAAATGCCTGGAACTAGGTTTTCTTTCTAGGTCTATGCAGAATAAATCTCATCTCTCTTCTCTTTGTCAGTCCTTTAAAAAATTTGTGTCCTCGTGACATCTGTTAAACTTATTTTCAATTCTGATTCAAAATATTATGACAGCCTTCCATGTATTCCATGTCATTCATAGCTCTGAGCCCTCTGTAGATTTGATGAGCATAATGCAATACGGGTTGAGGAGATGGGCTTTGAAGTCAGGCTGTGGCTTGCGTCCTTGCTCTGCTACTCACTCGTATAATCTTGAGAAGATTACTTAATCTTTCGAAAGTCAGTTTTCTCCTCTGTAAAACGGAGTTAAATTATTTCTTAAAAAAGATGGAGGAGTATAAGCCAATACATGTAAAGTATTTATAATGCAAAAATGTCAGTGTTTAGTAGATGGTACGGGTTAGCTAAAATGGAAACAGTAATAATTATTTTACATTTTCAAATTATTGATTACAAAACTAGGGAGGAAAAGACCAACCTGGAGCCCTGAGATAGGTCTTTCAGGTTAGAATCAGTCCACTAATCAGAACTTTCTGGTGTAGTTGTTCATTTAACTGTGAATCATCCATTCTACTACTACCCTCTAGCCTGCATTTCTTGAATTTGTATGAAAAGACAGAATTCACTCACCCTCCTTCCCTTCATTCAGTAACTACATGGGGCATTGTGTTTCAGTGCACTGAATACCAAGGAGATTCAGTAGTGACCAAGGAAAGATAGGGTTTCAGTCCACGGAGGGAGAGGACAGGGGGACTTTGCCTTGCTTTGCTGACAACACTATCTGTGACGCCATTGAAATTTTCCTGAACTTTTAAGGATCTAACAACTATTTCTACAAAAGAAAATGTTAGTTGCAAATGACAAGTTCATAATGAACCCTTCTTAGCTTCTCATAACAGATCTTTGTTCTGTAATATTTTATAGTATTTTCTGGGGGTTGACATTAAGCTCATCAATTATTATTATTACTTTGGTAGTCCATAATCTTTGAGTTGTGAAGATTAGCTTATTTTAGCTTCTTTGCCAGCTGAGTCAACTTCAGTTACATATCCACTTCCCGAGTCCCTGTCTCTATGTGAAGATTGGTCCTCAATTCATCAGAGTTGAAGTGAGGGTCACTTTCCAATATGGATGCAAAAGAAATTTGTGAACTTTAATGGACTTTACAATGTAAGGTGATGCTATTGCTATTTGTTCCCATATTTTAATTATCAGTTTTAAACCTCTGAGGCAAGGGTGTTATTCCAGATCTTCTTTGCCCCTTTCTCTTGAGAATTAGTGGGTGCTTCCTCTACTATTTTTCTTCTTAAGCTATACGTGCCATTTCCTCCACAGTGTTTAATATTATGTTATTATTTAAACACTTCCCTCTGGCCCTGACATTTAAGTTTATCCAGAATGATTGGGCTCCTGTTGCATGCTCTGTCCCCTCTCTGTGGGAGGCAGAAAACAATCCCGCCTTTTGTGTGGCTGGGTGCTCTCCTTCAGTGTCACCTTCAACTGGCACCCAAAATCAGACTTCAGTTTCCTCATCAGGGCCTCAGGTCATTGCACGGTGCTCTGCAGGCTATTTTGGGATGAGCATTGCCGGCTGTGTTTCAGGAGAACCTTCTGTCAGGGCTCCTGAAAGGACAGGATCTCCCTGCCCCTTCTTTAAGCAAACCTCCTTTGCCCATTTTTCTCACCTCTGATACTTGCTGAATTGTTCACGGTCTGCAGCAGCTTACACATCCCTGGTGTCAGTCAGCTCTCTCCGTTGAACACCAGATCCTCGGAAAACTGTGAGGCCAGTATTTCAAGCCCTTCACTTGTGTTGTGCTGGCTGTAGTGTTGCGATAAGTGTGGAAAGGAGGGAAGATGGAGCACTTCCTCCTCGGAGCTCACAATCTAGCTTGGGAGACAGTGCATATGCACCAGCATATTAATGTACATAAAAAGATGACCAGTCATTGCTTTATGAAGCCCTTGCACCAGAATGTGTTCTGGAAGCTTCCTTATTAAGCAGATCATTTTTAGTCAGCAACTTTTTTCTCCAGCAAGGTTACCATCTAACCCTGACATTTTGGAGAATGACTAGGAGAGCTATTAATAATTAGGCATGTATAATAGGCACAGACTAGAACTGTCCTAGGTGAATTAGAATGTGGATTCACCCTAATTAAAACCAGAGAAACAGCGACTCAAGCATCCATTCATAGCCTTTATCAGAATGACATGGACAGAGCCCTGGCCGGGGAGCTCAGTCGGTTAGAGAATCGACTCCATATGCCAACTTGTGGGTTTGATCCTGGGTCAGGGCATATGCAAGAATCGACTAATGGCCCTGGCTGGTGCGGCTCAGTGGATAGAGCATCGGCATGTATCTGGGTTGTAGGTTTGACCTCTGTCCCAGTCGGCACACATGCAAGAGGCAACCAATCGATGAGACCAATCAGTATGTCTCTCTCACATCGATGTTTGTCTCCCTCCCTCCCTCCCTCCCTCTCTCT